GCAATTGTCATACATTCCACTTGATGCATTTAATGATGTACAAAACAGCACAGATAAAATGAGGAGATAAAAACAGAGATAACAGGATAAATGTAAACTAAAATTTAGAAACTATAAGAAGTACTGGTGGGAAATAAGACTCAGAAGTCATGTTTATGGAATGTTCATGAGTAAAAAATGTTCCTTTGAAAGCTATATTATCTTGTTATTTTCAGCTCACAAGTCTTAGACTGCATGAGATGAAAATGGTATTTTGGAGTAAAAAAATTGAACTGTTGGGTCCACTCATTACTCCTGCCTTTCTCAAAAGAGCTATAAGAAGAGACATTAACTGAAGGACAGAGAGAGAGGTTGCCCAAGTGGGCTGGGAAAATAGAAGAAGCACATATCAAATTATAAACGTAAAATAATTTCTCCACTCCATTTCCTAATTCAGTTCCCAAATAATCTTGAAAAAGGAGACTTAGGTCATTTGAAGTCTCCAAAGAAAATAACCAAAGAGAGAAGATGATACAAGAAGTTCAGCAACTAAAAGTCTGACATCCAAGTTATACTGGAACAACACTCACTGTGCAACATCTGAGGCCATATTTACACTATGAGATAAGGTCGAACCTTTTATGGTTGATTTCTGGTCTCCTGATTTTGCAAAATTGAAGGTCCATCTCCTCACTGCGGGAAAGAATCCAATATACTCTGCAGTAGTCTGACCCCATTAGGGAGCCTTCCGTCAACTCAGAGAGTGATGCACCATGGGTAGCTTTGCACTCTGGGCTATGCTCCTGGTTCTCGCTTGGACAAAACTGTGAGCAGGTGGTTATGGGTTCATGTCATCAGCATCCCATAATGCATTCATCTAGTCCCTCCCTCCCCTTGCTTGATATAAATGGGAAGCACTCTTCGCTCCTTTTTGCCCTGGTTGCCCATGCACACGCCATAGCAGGGCAAGCATGGATCCCGTTTTGCAGCAAACCATTGTGATGTTGATGTCTGCACCGGTGCGCCTAATGATGCAGTACTTCAAGAGCATACCCTTGTCACTCCACCAAGAAGAGGATGAAGACGAATCTCAGGTTGGCATGGAGTCACTGTTCATACAAGCCCTGGTGCTTATGTAAGCGCAGCCATGAGCCAATCCTGCAGGCACAGTGATATGCTGGTTTTGGCACTGTGAGACAATCTCCGACTCATGGGACTACATTGTGATGCAGAGATAGGACAATCAGCAGTGGCTGCAAAACTTCTGAATGCACAAGGCCACTTTCTTTGAATTTTGTGAATGGCTGCAATAAGCTATTCCCCTGCCCTGAAGAGACAGAATACCCAAATGAGACACTCACTGACTATGGAGAAGTGTGTGGCAACAGTCTGGAAGCTTTCAATGCCAGACAGCTATTGTTCACTTGGGAATCAAATCGGAGAGGGGAAATCTACAGTGGGAGCTATTGTTATACAAGAAGACAAGGTGATGATCAATACCATTCTACTACAGAGGGTCATGACTCTGGGAAATGTGGATACCATAGTGGATGGTTTGCCACAATGGGGTTCCCTAACTGTGGTGGAGCGATAGACGGAAGACCTATCTGCATCTTGGCCCCTGACTTTGCCAGGGAGTACAAAAACCACAAGGGATACTTCTCTATGGTGCTGCAGGCACTGGTGGATCACAAGAGCCATATCACCCTTCATCAACATGGGATGGTTGGGAAAGGTGCATGAAGCTTCCATCTTTAAGAACTCCTGCCTCTTCAGAAAGATGCACACTGGAACATTTTTCCCAGAAGGGAAAATCAGAATCAAAGAGGTGGAAATGCCTATTGTGATCTTTGACAACCCAACCTGCCCTTGCTTCTGTGGCTCATGAAGCCATACAGAGACAGCCTGGACCCCAGCATGGAGCAGTTCAACTACAGGCTAAGCAAATGCAGAATGGTAGTTGTATGTGCTTTTGGACATTCAAAGAGAAGGTTTAGGACCTCAATAAGTGCAACATTCTCTTTGTGATGGCAGTTTGTTGCGTATGCCATAATCTTTACGAGAGCAAGGGGGTAGGGTGGAGTGCTGAGGCAGAGCGCCTAGCCAGAAACTTTGCACCACCTGATACCAGGGCGATAAGGAAAGTAGAGCATGGGGCAGTGCAAATTTGGAGATGCTTTTATGAATGGACAGTTTTGAGACTCATGTACATTGTTCTCAACAAGTTGCCCCTTCATTCCCTGGGGGTACGTCTACACTACAATGTTAATTCGAACTAACTTAGTTCGAATTAGTTAATTCAAACTAAGCTAATTCGAACTAACGGATCCAGACTAAAAAACTAGTTTGAATTAGCTTTTTGCTACTAGCATGTCCACATTAAGTGGACCCTGAACCGGGCTTAAGAATCGCCGGAAGCAGTGCCAGCAGGGCATCAGAGGAGGACTTAGAGCGTGGAGCTGCTGTCTCAGGCTAGCCGAGGGCTGTGCTTAAAGGGACCCGACCCCCACCCCGGACAGACAGTTCTCAGGGGTGCCCCGCTTGCAAAGCAGTCCTGGCTTGGAGTGCCCGGAGTGCCCACACTCGGCACATCACAGCACTCGGACATCAGCCCGGCTGCACTTGCCACAGGCTGCCATCTGAGGAGAGGGGGCAATCGGGGGGCTGCAGGAGAACTTCC